CCCGAACAACGCGCTTGTCATTTTCCTGCTTTGGCCATCCTAATACCGACTGCTAAAGCAGTCAACACGCCACGGTGGTGAGATGTCGCCTACCTCGCCTGGTGTACAGGAGGGTCGTGGGTTCGATCCCGACCCTGACGATGCCTGCTGCTGTATATTTGGAGTTTGCGGTGTCTCTCTCATCATCATCGCGGTGGCTAGGAGATGTTAACTCCCTCGCCTGGTATACAGGAGGTCGTGGGTTCAATACCAGCCCTGACACCTGCTGTATATTTGAACTTTACGTGTTTCTCTCTCCTTCCCCCCCCTCCCCACCGACCCGTGGTGGTTGTGTGGATTTTTCTCCGGATTCTCCGGTTCCCCACCCCCCCCTCCCTCCACATTGCGAATCGACGTCGCGCATTTTAGAGTTACTTGGCATGCTATAAACGTCCACGTGCTGATGATGATGATAAGCCTTTTTCTTCGAGTTACCATTTGCGATAGCCAGGTGGCCCCTTAAAAAGAGCTGTGCAGTTGTAGCTCAGTGGGCCTTGCCTGGTTTTAAAAAAAAAAAAACCTGAACAGTTTAGTTGTAGCAGTGCTGAGGAACGCGTTTGGTCAGTGTGCGCTGCCGGGTGTTATTGTTATTGCTGCTCGGTGGTGGGAGGTGCCTGTCGGGGCCGGTTAAACCGTGCGCGGGCGCTCGAATGGGAAAACTAAAACTATATATAAAAAAGCTATTTAAATTTTACCAGGTAAGGCCCACTGAGCATATATAGCAGTTTTTCAGAAGCGACCTGGCCATCGCAAATGATAGCTCAACGGAGTGGCCTATCGTCGCGTGGAAATTCATAGCAGCCAAAGAGTCTCGACGCGTGACGTTCATTCTGAATGTGTGGGGGGGGGGGGGGGGAAACCGGTGGGCACCGGAGAAAAATCCACGTGACCACGGGGAAAATGCGCAAACTCCAAATATACAGCAGGCGACAGGGTTGGGATCGAACCCACGACCTCTCGCGGGATCTGAGCCCTCGATAATCGACAAATTTTGTCGCTCGCGTCTTCTCTGCCGTAGATGTTTTCCTCTCGGATGCGCTCCGTCCCCCGGCTGCCACTCACGACCTCCTGCATATCAGGCGAGGTGGTTAACATCTCGCGATCAATGCGTTCCATCCCTCAGCTGCCACTCCCGTCGTCGTCGTCAATGGCGGAGCCAGGATTTTCAGGTGGGAGGGTGCAACCCCTCCAGCAATGAAAAATAATAATAGTTGTTAGTAGGTAAGGAGTTGTTAGTAGGTAAGGAGTTGTTAGTGAGTAAGGAGTTGTTAGTAAGGAGTTGTTAGTAGGTAAGCAGTTGTTAGTAGGTAAGGAGTTGTTAGTAAGTAAGGAGTTGTTAGTAGGTAAGGAGTTGTTAGTAGGTAAGGAGTTGTTAGTAGGTAAGGAGTTGTTAGTAGGTAAGGAGTTGTTAGAAAGTAAGGAGTTGTTAGTAGGTAAGGAGTTGTTAGTAAGTAAGGAGTTGTTAGTAGGCAAGGAGTTGTTAGTAGGTAAGGAGTTGTTAGTGAGTAGGAGTTAGTGAGTAAGGAGTTAGTGAGTAAGGAGTTGTTAGTAAGTAAGGAGTTAGTGAGTAAGGAGTTGTTAGAAAGTAAGGAGTTGTTAGTAAGTAAGGACTTGTCCATTGCTTGTTATTCGACGCGTGTGCGGTGATGACGCAGCCATCGATCGAGGGTCGAATTGGAACCGCGTTGTGTGATCGGCATCACGCTCGCTGAAGGTGTTGATGCCTTCAGGGAAGTCGTGGACTCTATACGCAACTGTGCACAATTCTGTGAGTCACTTATAACTGCTTTGCCGTTACTTATTGCCAATTATGGACTCGGACTATTGTCCTTTCTTCTCATAGAGTCCCTGGCACGTAATAATATGCTACACAGTGGCAGTGGGGGTTGCAAAATGCCGATTTATTACTAATAAACCCCAAATTATCCGATCTAAATGAGGGATTTCGATCGGATCATTGAGGGGGGCAATGTGCCACCCCCCCCCCCCCCCCCCCCATTGGCTCCGTCAGTGGTCGTCGTTCTTGTGACCGTCTACCGCCATCGTCCCTTCTAGAGACGTGTGCTGCCCAAGGGCAACTTGCCAACTTGCGTTTCTTTACAGTCTGAATGAATGGCTTTGACCTGCGTCCGTTCTCTAATCCGTGCGTCGTGCCCCCACCGTGTCCCTCAATGTAATTCCGAGCACGCATCGCTCCAGGCTTGTCTGTGCACTTTTTCATTTTTTATTTTTTCTTTACATGTGCCCCGTTTCCGAACTATTTAATAGCAGGTAGCATGCACTTTACCAAGCATGCGTTCTCCCCCGTACCCTCCTCTCTCCCAAGGTTTGTAAAAAAAAAGTATTATGATGGGTAATGACGAACAGAGAGACCAAGCACTGTGCCGAGATATCGATTTGAGGCGTCCTTTGGACGGTGGTCTCCATCCGCTCGCCTCCCCCCCCCCTCCTCGGGTGTTGCGGCATCGCAGCCTCGCGGCAAAAAAACTTGGGACGATCGGCGTTCGCTCAGTTGGCGGTGGCGAGATGTTTACGACCTCGCCTGGTATGCAGGAGGTCGTGGATTCCATCCAGACCCTGACGCCTGCCGTATATATTGAGTTTGCATCGTCTCTTTCTCTCCCCGTGGTCGCGTGGATTTTTTTCTCCGGGTCCTCCGGTTGTTCCTTCCACGTTTAGAATGAACTTCACCCGTTTAGAACATTTGGCTGCCATACATTTCCACGTGATGAGCTGCTTCGTTGCGCTGTCATTTGTGGCAGGGTCACTTCTGAAAAAGAGCTGTGTATAGCTCGGGTGGGCCTTACCTTGTAAAATAAAAAAATAAATGGTTCCTAGTTTATCTGAGAGGGGGACATCCACCGCAGAGAAGACGCAAGCGACAAAACTCTGCTCTTTTGGATTCTCGAGGGCTCGGCCGGATCCTGCGTGATGCTGGCTGCTTTGGGAGATGACGACGATGGTGATGACGATGATGACAGTGGTGACGATGCTGACGGTGAGGCCCTTCCGCGGTGACGATTGCCGTGCAAGCGTTACGCTCGGCTCGTTTCCGCGCGTGTGCCTTGACGCTGGCAAGCACTTCGTGTGTGTGTGTGTAATGAGTGCGACCTTTTAATGTATTTGTTCAGCAACCGGAAGCCAATGCAGCATAGCATGCACTGGACGGACACGGTCGGATGTTGCGGTACCCGGCACGACACGTGCCACAGAATTTTGTACACGCTACATCACTCGGCCACTTTGTGCGAGCCATGGCTGGGAATCGAACTGGGGATCGCCAGGGTTCGGAGCACTAAACCCACTGTGGAGCATTGTGGATAAAAACAAAATCGACAGGCTTCCATTCATCCGCTTGGCGTTAAAAATTAACAACAAAAATCTTTAGGCCATAGACCGATGATAATCGAGCTACATTTGTTTATACGTACAAGCAAACTCTCCACCGGTTTCGATGTTAGCTAAAAGCACTCTTTATCTGCATGCCAGGTAGGGGTCACCGTATGCTGAGCAAAAATAAATATTATATATAAAAAAAGCAATGACCCCTGGTTTTGTCCCCGCACGTGCAAAGTAATATTGTTTCGCCTTTCATTTCAATCATTCTGTGGGCTCTCCAGACCAACAACATCCGGCCAGCATTTGTTTAAACAGGCAAAACGGCACAACAAAAGAGAGCCATTCACCCCCCCCCCCGTCCCTGCCGCCTTTGTCTCTCCTTCGGTGCCGATGTTGACTGTTGCACGTTGAGGTCTTTACTCGGGTGGGCACTGGTCGGCTGCGGATTCCAAGCGCCGTCGATCTTTCCGTCAAGCCGCTCGTGAACATCGGACGACGACGATGATGTCGATGTTGACAAAATTGTGGGGCGTGAATTTTTGATTGCCATATATAAAACGGTCGTTACAGGATCCACGGCTTGCTCTAAGGGCGAGGGTTTGTCTGGGTAGGATGGGGGGGATGGTTCAATTGTATCTCTGTGTGTTGGGGTGATTTATTTATCTTTCTTGAACTTTGCACTCCTATCGTGCTTTTTGTGCTGTTTTGTTATCACGTTCTGGCCCCGTGCCCCGACTGGACATCCGTGGAAAAGAGCTTTGTAGCTCTTCAGATTCCTCCTGCAGTACAAACACATATTCTGATTCTGTATCAAGTCTCTCTCTCTCTCTCGATGCGTGCATCCAGGCTCCCGTGTGAATTGCGTGCAAACGGAGTCTCGATTGGCAAAAAAAACGCGGAGCTAGGAAATCCGTGAAACGAACGTCTGTAAAAAAAGAAAAAATCTTTATAGCTCACCGGATTCCTCCAGTCTCAATACGTGTTCTGATCTGCTGATGGTGTTTTCTGGTGTTGGGCCACCCCCCCCCTCCCCCCCGCCGTCATTGTTCGTCAAAACCGACCGACGTGCTGCAGCAGCATCGGCGTCTTGGGAAATATGAAATGTATAACGGCGAGGCTTACCGTGAGAAGTCCTTATTAACACCTCGTAGTAGTAGTAGTAGTAAGGCTTTCGCGACCAATTTATCCATGATAGAGGTTTTTTTTTGGATTAGATCGTGTGAATTTAAATGTGTCGTTAAGCCCGCCACCGCCCGACACGGCAAATCGGTAAGGTTTGTCACGTGTACAAAACGAAGCCAAATCATTACTAGTCCAGCACGCCGGTGGTGTGGTGGAGAGTAAACACCAATTGTAACCCAAAGCGCTATCGTGGGGAAGTTCTTATTGCACTGCCGTACTGTAAATAACATACCGCCATAGTTCCACTCGGAATGCGTCCCGCAATCACGGAGGCGTGCCACAAGCAAGCCAGAAGGCAACAGCCAGGTGGTGGGCCGGCCGTCGTTACCAACGTTTGCCCCAGCTCTGGGGTCCTAAACATATATAAACAAATTAACGAGTGTTTTCTACATGTGGGAGGGAACTGGATCACCCGGAGAAAACCCAGCAGTGCAAGGGGGCAACGCTCGATATCCCATAGAGAAGGGGCCGATGATATTTGTCCGCACTCTGCTGTTGCCGGCCTTCTCCTGGCGAGCCAGGAGAAGGCACCCATCATAATACATGGGAAGGGAGTTTTTGGCAAAATCGGTGCGGTGATTCGCCAACCTTCGATGCCTCCACAATGCTGGATTACAGACCACGTGCATAGCCACCACCCCCCTCCTCCCCCCTCGTATTTAAAGCGAAAGTTGGGGAGTGAGTCCTTATCATCATTGGGTGGGTGCACGTGACAAGGCCCGAAATTTGGGGTGCATCTCACATTCCCAGAGCTTCTTTTCGCGCGGAGAACTCTGATTATAATAATTACGGCTGGGAGCACATTCGGCATTCGCGCCGTTCGTACAGCCCCCGCAGGCTTTGAAGAACATTTCCCGACCCGAGCCTGCTGCGGCTTTTACGGAACTGGCTTTTACGGCGATTTCAATCGTGGACAGGTGACCGGCTACGAGTTCCACGTAGGATGGGACGAGGATCAGCGAGGGTGAGCGCGTGGTGGGGGGCGGAGGTGGTCGGTCGTGGAACGTGCGAGTGGAGCGGGTGGCTGGTTGGGTGGCTGAGCAGGGAAGTGAGTGGGGTGGGTGGATATTGTTCTGAGAGTGGGGTGGATGGCTCTCAGTAGGCGAGTGTTGTGGGTGGATATAAGTAGGCGAGCGGACGTGTTGGACACCACAAAACCAGTAGTTCACTCGTACTGCACGAACGGTGCTGATTGTTGCGGTTTGAAGTGGTGAACTTTTACTGGAAAGCGGTTGTAGGGGGGTGTGTGTGGGGTGTGTGTGGGTGGGTGTGGGTGGATGTGTGGGTGAGTGTGTAAGGGATGAATGTTCCTATTGTTCACCGCGGCCGCGCAGTCGAGATGGCTGGGCACGTCTCTCGCCGCCGCCGCTGCTGCAGCCCGCGTGCCGGTGTCTGCTCGTGTGACCGGTCCGCCGAGTTTGGGGCCCACCCCCGGCCCTCCCCGAGGGGTGATCTCGCGCCTTCACTGTGCACCTGGGAATGTCTGCGTAGGCTCCACCCTGCCTCGATAAATAGCAGGGGGCGACACGGTTGTGGTGGTGGCGGCGGTACCGACACGGTGGTGGTGGTGGTTGTGGTAGCGACAGGGTGGTGGTGGTGACACGGTGGTGGTTGTGGTGGCGACACGGTGGTGTTGGTGGTTGTGGTAGCGACACGGTGGTGGTGGTGGTGGTTGTGGTAGCGACACGGTGGTGGTGGTAGCGACACGGTGGTGGTTGTGGTAGCTACACGGTTGTGGTGGTGGCAGCGGTACCGACACGGTGGTGGTGGTGGTGACACGGTGGTGGTGGTGATAAAGTGGTGTTGGTGACATTTTTCTCTGGGTTCCTCCGGTTTTTTCCCTCCGTTTGTGGCAGCCCGGGGTTTGCTTCTGAAAATGAGCAGCTCAGTGAGGGCCTCACCTGGTAAAACAAAAACGAGTTAATAGTTGGGAAAAATAAAAATAATACATCAACAGTACTCTTCTGCCACGCGGGTCGTCACACGTCTTGTAAGACGTACGTCGAACCAACACTACCCGACCGCCACACGCGACCCGATGACCGACTGACCTGCGGGACGAACCCCCCCCCCGCCCCCCAAACTGCTTGGGTGGAGCAGAGAGGGCATTGTGGGATTTTAAGAAACTTCGCCCCGTTGTTGTTTTTCAACTGCCACGCTTTGAAAGACGGAATCTTAAGCCGCGACTCCTTCTTCTCTCCTTCGTCTTCCGCCTCTTCTGTATCGGCCGGTGCCGAAGTGCCGCCGCAATCCATGCGCGACCGCGCGCAGCTGTTTGCAGGCAACAAATCGTGGCATGCTATCGGCCGGGACTACGCGCCGTGTCTTCATGCTGGGAAAAGAGAGCAGCTGGCTTGGTGGGGTAGAAGTCTCGGTTTTTTTTTAGATGCCAGGGCGCAGTGGTGTAGCGTGGCCGGTATGGGTCTCCTTTCATCTGGCCCCGGGAGTACCCGGAGTTCCCCCCCCTATCACCACCACCACCACCCCCACCCGGAGTTGTCCCCGTGTTTTTTTTGTGTTGTTCCCAGATCTTCCATTTGCTTCATTTGCTACGCTTCGTCGTTATTTGTTTTGCTTTTTGTGTGATTTTGGTGACTCCCTGGGGTTCTTGCAAATGAGACTCATCCCCCCGCCCCAACCTTCCCCGGTTGTCTTTGGCTTCTTGCCTGGTTCAACAAAATGAACCGGTGGGGAGGGGGGGCGAGGGGGCCCCCCCCCCATTCCTTAGCTACGGTGGGTGGGTTGGGTGGGTCGTGGGGGAGCGGTGGCGTAGCGGTTAGCGCTACGCTGCGCGACGAACCTGGTGACACGGGTTCGATTCCCGCCCACGGCCAACGCCGGTGACGATTATCTGAACCGGTCCTGGGCCCTCCCCTAGGTCGACTCGGCCTCAAATGAGTACCTGGTGCGGTGTGTAAACATTGCCACGAAGGGAGACAAAGGCGGCCGGGCGTGGTGCTGACCACCCACCTCCTCGTGTGCCTTCATAGGTGCTCGCTAACAGCACTTGCCCCTAGAGTCTGTTAAGGCTATACGGGGGATCTTTGTTTTTGTGGGCGGGTGGGGTCATAGGTATTCTTTTATACGATTGTCGAGATAGTGGGGCAGTGACACCTTGCCCACCGGTTTGCTCTTGAGGGATGGCTACGAGGAGAGAAAACCCGGCAGCCTGCCCCGTGACTCTTTTCATTCCCGCGTCTGCAGGGGGCGGATGGGTGAGCGGGGCTTTTAGGGGAGCGTGTTACAAGCCCGCCCGCCCGCCCCGCCGTGTGGCCTCGCGTCCAGCAGAGGCGGAGGCCTCTCTCGCCGGGCGGAGCGCTCGCCACGCGGCCTTTTTTTTTGTGTTTTCTCCCCGCGCGCCGACCCCAAAACTGCGTTGCTACCTCGGCATACGTTGCGTATCTACGCGCGACTTTTGACACTTGATCCCCCGAGGATTCTGGCCTTAAAAAAATGTTCGACGCTGCTGTTTTCCTGTCGACCCTCGAAATATTTTTTGCGTGGGTCACCGTGCACCATTTCACATATTTTTTTCCCCCCAAGTGAAAAAACTGAGATGTTGACTACCTCGCCCGGTATACAGAAGGTCGTGGGTTCGATCCCGACCATGACGCCTGTATATTTGGAGTTTGCGCGTTCTCCCCGTGGTCACTTGGATTTTGTATCCAGTTCCTCTGGGTTTTCACCCCCACATTTAAAAAAAACACGCGTTTAGAGTATTTGGCTGCTATAAATTTCCACGTGATGATGATAAGCCACTTCGTTGAGCTATCATTTGTGTCCAGGTCGCTTCTGAAAAAGAGCTACACAGCTCAGTGGGCCGTACCTGGTAAAAAATATATATAAAGAATTAAAGCTTTCGTGACTGCATAAATGACTCATTGTTTTTTTTCGGTAAAGTCACGTACGTAGTAAAATTATATTAAAGTAAATCAATCACGACGTTTCGACCGCAACACAAGCGATCTTCATCAGGTTTAAAAAAGGAAATAGCACATAGGGTGACATCAACGCAACACATAGAGAGCGTTAAACTGCACGGAGGTAAATACAAGAAACGTCGTGATTGATTTATTTTAATATAATTTAATACATACGTGACTTTACCGAAAAAAACAATGAGTAAAATATATATATAGTTTAGATTACTTTGAAAGCTCTGCGAGTCATTAGCCCAAAGCGGGTCGCACACAAAATCTAAATATTTGTTCAATGGGAGTAAAAAAAAAACCCGAGAAAATCGACTAATCTGTAAACAGTTCCGCGGACAACTTCCCAACAATCCCTCGTTGGCCACCAGCGGTTCCACGGTGGGGGTGGGGGGGGCACAGCTCGCGAGACACCACCGCTCGGCCGCTTTATGGAAGGCTCGCCCGCCACCGCGTGCGTGGTTAACCCTCCCTGATGCCGTTGTCGGGTTGAAGTGCGCGTCGTTCGCCGTTGTGCCCGACCGTTGCTGCCCGCGTTATACCGCCTCGCCCCCTCGCCTCGCCTCACCTCTCCCCCTCTACGTTTCAAATGTCTCCCGACTCAGAATGCACCGTTCCGCTGCTTGCACCCCCACCCAGCCCCCCCCCGTGTGCTTGTTTTACTCTTCGTGTTCCCTAGACAGTCCTCGGCTTTTTTTTTTGCTTTGTTCCCCTCGACCGCGTTCCCTCCGCCTCCCGCTCGTTCTGTTCATCAACTCGCCCCTTGTTTTTGTTGATGCGATACGCCGGTTTATTCTGTCCCAATGGCGCCGTCGGCTGTTGCTCTTCTTCAAGCTCCGTGTTTCGCGCGCACCGCCGACGCGTTCCGCCGATCTCCGTTTTCCGCCGTACGGAATCCTTCGGATGTTGTCGTTGTTGCTCTCGTTCTGCGCCGATGGCACCGTGGATCTCCCTCGTGAAGTTTAGCTGGGCAACTACATCAAATGCGATTAATTCTGGGGGCAAAATAATTTATTTTGTACTTTTGCGTGTCAATAAAAGTGTGTGTATTAAAAAACTAAATTTGCGTCGGGTTCATGCTAGAGCCCGTAACGTGTATACCGCAGACTTCACTTGCTAACCCTATTGCGATATAAAAACATTTTTTTAAGCAAATATTCATGAACAATAAACATTTCCCAGTTATTTTTTTGTTAATCGGCATGATTATCTTTTGAAAAAAAATATATATATTTTTGGCTGTCATGTTTTCCGAGCACCGGCCCAAAACGACAAGCGGGCAGCAACAAGCGGCACTATTAGAGTTCAGAGGTTACAGTTAATACTGTGCACTTCCTGACATGAGCAAAGTTGTTATGAGAACCCTGGGAACGGAGATCACTGGACAGACTTGGAAAGCCGAGCAGTGCGTGGGTAGAGACGCGGAGAGAGGAGTGGTTCGTGATGACGGCTAAAAACCCTCCGGGGTTACGAACCCCTGCGCTAACAAACCCTGCAGGGTGCGTCGCTTAAATTGCTGGGGTTGGCAGGCATGCAAAGACGTGATCATGACGGCGATGCGGATGCAGGGTCCCTTGGACCCTGCATTCGAGGCTTGCGACCACCCTCGCTGGCTCGCGGCTTTCCCAGGGAATAACCCTCATCACGTGATGAGCGCCGCCAGTGTGGTAATGCGGGAGGCGGCCAGGTCGCTTCTGGGTTCGATCCCGAACCTGGCCGTGACGCCTGTATATTTGGAGTTTGTGCTTCTCTTCCTGTGGTCACGTGGGGGATAAGCGACTTCGTTGAGCAGTCATTTGTGGCCAGGTAGCTTCTGAAAAAGGGCTCTGTAGCTCGGTGAACCTTGCCTGGTAAAATAAAAAATAGTTTAGTTTATGGTTTAGTTTTTTTTTCTAAGCCACATCGTTGAGCTTATTATATGTGGCCAGGTCGCTTCTAAAAATAAGAAGCTAATAGCTCGGTGGGTTTTACCTGGTTAAACAAAATCTATCGATTTGTTTACCTTTCCTATATGTTACACTCCCAGTCGTGTTTT